TGTCCAAAAAGCACACACTGAAACAACGTAACAACTCCACCATTTTATCACCTATAATATATAAAAGGGTAAACTACATAAATGGTCACTTATATGTGACAAATGATCTAAATTTTTCATTCGGCCGTGGCAGTCAAACACAAGCGCAACACAATCAGGGTGCTTGTTGACGAGCAAGGAAGAAAACTTGAATCCTTTGACATGATGGCCTCTGAGGTGACTACTTTCTTCTCCAAACTTATAGGTACTTCAAATCCCAACGTAACCGCGAGCAATCCCACTCTTCTTAAAAGCCTGCTGCAATTTACGTTGCCTCCTGAAGCTTCATCTGATCTAATCAATGAAGTATCAAAAGAGGAGATTAAGGAAGCTATTTTCAATCAAGGCAACGACAAAGCCCCTGGCCCGGATGGATTCACACCTTACTTTTTCAAAAAATTATGGGATGTGGTTGGAGATGATGTGGTAGACGCAATAAAATACTTATTCCAACAAACTTGCTTGCTCCCAGCTTTCAATGCTACCACAATTACCTTGGTGCCTAAAGTGCCAAATCCAAGCAAGGTTAAAGACATCCGGCCAATTTCATGCTGCTCTGTTGTTTATAAGACAATTACTAAGATATTAGTAAAAAGATCGACCAATTTACTTTCAGGGATGATTACTCCAAATCAAACTACCTTTGTAAAAGGTAGAAGTATCGTTGACAATACTCTCCTTGCATAGGAAATGGTGAAAGGCTATGGAAGGAAATCAATTTCCCCTAGATGTTCTTTGAAGAATGGCTTTCAAAAGGCCTTTGACACTCTTCACTGGGGCTTCATTTCATCAGTTCTAAATGTTCTACAGCTACCAAAAACCTTCATTGATTGGATTGAAGCTTGTTTCTCAAATGCACGATACTTTATCTCCTTCAACGGAAGCCTGGTTGGATATTTCAAGGGTGAAAGAGGAATAAGGCAAGGTGACCCACTATCCCCTTTCTTATTCATCCTCGCAATGAATGTGTTGTCTAAAATTCTTAATTTGGCTGCTGCTAGAGGTATGTTTGGCTTCTATCCTAAATGTAAGAAGATAGGGCTCACTCATTTAATGTTTGCGGATGATCTTCTAATCTTTTGCAAAGGAAATTTAGAATCAGTTGTCGGAATCACTACTGTTTTAGACAAATTCTATGAAATGTCTGGCCTAAAGCTAAATGCAGCCAAATGTGAATTCTACGCAACTGGTATTTCTACTATTATCCTGGAGTCCATCAATAAAACTAAGGGGTTCAAGCAAGGATGCCTACCTGTGAGATACCTAGGAGTCCCTTTGGTCACTAGGAAACTCTCTGAAAAGGACTGTGATGTTCTCATTGATAATATCAAGTCTAGTTTTTACCACTGGTTAGGTAAACTCTTGTCTTATGCAGGTAGACTCGAACTTATAAGAGCGGTCTTGTTCAGTGTTGCTAACTACTGGTGCATACAACTTTTTCTACCTCAATCTATTATTAAAAAGATTGGGCAACTTTGGTCTCACTTTTTCTGGAAAGGTTTAGATAAAGCGGCTACTGGAGCTCGAGTAAGCTGGGGAACGATATGTCAATCGAAACCTGAATGAGGACTTGGTTTAAAGGACTTAAAAATGTGGAATAAGGCGTGTATGATCAAGCTTATTTGAAGTATCCTAGAAGGTGAAGGCTCATTGTGGGTTGCTTGGCTAAACAATTACGTCCTCAACGATAAAGACTTCTGGCACATCGATAGCGGTACTAATACCAGCTGGAGCTTCAGAAAATTACTAAAACTAAGGAGAGAAGCCAACACTGTTTTCTCAACCGAAGCAACATCAATTCGTGCAATTTGGGAAGAGACTAGGGTTAAGAGAGACAAAGTTCATTGACATAATCTGATTTGGTTTCCCCTCCACATTCCTAAACACAACATGATCACTTGGATGGCTATTTTGGACAGACTTCCTACTAAAGTTAGACTACAACATATGGGTATTGCTACTGATGGTTTATGTGTTTTATGTAAATAAGCACAGGAAACGAGAGATCACATGTTCATGGAATGCCCACTAGCAAGCTATTTATGGAAGGAAATCTTACTACTAACCGACTTGCGGAGATCTTCATTATCTTGGGATCATCTAATGTCCTGGGCATGTGGTACCTGGACAGGTAACTCCCTCCTTATAAATATTCTGAAGCTTGCATGGACTGCATTTATTTTTTCTCTTTGGGAAGAAAGAAACAAAAGGCTATTCCGAAGAAGCTCAAGAACTGTTGATGAAATTCTTAAAGCTATTAAGGAGTTTGTTAGAATTCAACTAAGAGATAGGATAATCAATAAAATAGATAGAGTTAATATCTCTCTTTGTATTCAATGGGGTATTGACTAACCTTCTATGTTGGTTGTTCATGTTCCACGTTGGTTGGTTTGATGACTGAATCTGTTTTGATGTATGTACTGTAACTGTTTTGATGTCTGTATTGTAGTAGTTTACTGTTCCCTTTTGAGTAATAATATTCTTTTATTTATCCAAAAAAAATTCTATGTACCACTGTTTCAAAAATAATGATTTGATTATTCATATTATCGATTTATAACAAATCAATCACTTTATCGTTAATAATTATTATTGAATAATAAAATATTGATGTGGTGCATTAAATCGACTGACTTGATATGTTTAACCAACCATGACAATGATTTTAATCAGTATTTGACTCCCCTCTTATAGGTGCCAGCTTGAAGAGTGCTTGCCAGAAGCTCATCGTGCTTCTTATTCCGATATAAACAACAGCTCTCTTCTTTTTATCAAAGCTTGGGTTTCTCAGTAAAAAGAATGTTATTTAGAGACTTATTGTTCTTTTTCATTGTTAGATGATAACTTATTTTCTAACTTTACTGTGTATTTATACGTCTTCAACTAGTCTCTCTTCTTCTTCTTTATTTTCTTCAAAGCATGGATTTTTCAGTGTCTTCACTGCAATTTCTTTAAGTTTATGTTTCTTCAAATAATTGATTCTCAATGATTCTAAGTTTATGTCATTTAATAGAATTAAAATAATTTTGATATAAAATCTAAATATAAGATTTATCTTTTCAAACTAACAATAATAATAAATTAAATTCATAAATATACTTGAATCCATCACAAAATAAAATACCTCGGATTTTGATATTGAGAATGAAATATCAGAAAAGTCAAGTCATATATAATTTGATAACTATAACCCCAATAAATAACCTAAAACAATAATTTTAATTTCTAACCATTCTACCAGCAATAAGAAATTAATTAAGAATTTGATTGTTTGGATTTTTAGACATATTTTATTCAATTTATTAAAAATGAATTTCTTTTTATCGAATTAGATTATTTTAACATGAATAATTTTTTATGATGATAAATAACATAATAGTTATTTAATCATTATATATGTTATAAAATTCTCTAAAGCTTTTGCGCCGCACACTTGTTCCCTTTTTTTCTCTCTCGGACGGCATTAGTTTGGGAGTTGGTTGTTGTCTATTGATTTTTTTTTCTATTTTATTTTTTTAATAACTTTATTTTTATGAAGCATATTTCTCTATTTTTATAGTATGTTTTTTATCTTTTGACATATCTTCGATTTTTTATTAGTTGTTTGACTCTTTTTCGTTTAGTTTTTTCAGGGTTGGATTTGACGTCACATCAATTGATTAAGATTGCGCTTATTTATTATCTTGTTGATTTTCCCTGCTTTAGACCTCCGAATTGAATTTGAATATGTGATTTACATTGGAGATAGTTGTCTTATGACGCTCGATTTGGTTTGTACATCGGTGGTATTTCAATAGTTTAATCCCATGTGGTTTGTTTGCTGATGCAGTTAGATCTATTTGTATTTATCTTTTGTTCAATATTTTTGGATAGGTTTGTAACTTCTTCCTTGTATAGTTCTAGTTTGATCTCAAGTGATTAGCTTCTTTATAAGAAAATATCTTAATTATATGTTTAGTTCATACTTGTGGTTGTAAATCTTTTATTATAATTTTGGATATTTCCTTCTCGTTTAATAAAACTAACCGCTTCTATTAAAGAAATATTTTAAATGTTATGCTGATATATTTCAACAGGAGATGGCAACCCCAACTTGTTGGCTTGGTTTATGTGTTTCAACGTCTTAATTCCACTATTCCCCTGCAAATAAACTTAGCCTGAGATTCCATCCGTTTCAAAGAACTGTCTAACAATAATGACTATGGTCGATTGAAACGGAGGATTATTTTAGCTTCTCCATGAGGTTGAGGGAATGTACAGAGAGTTTCCTTTTTCGGCATAATGACGATGGCACTGGCGGATCTAACTGGTGGTCAGGATGAGCAACTACATTCAAATTCTTTTATATTAATTATTCATTTTATTAATTGTATCCTTCTTAAGATTTTATGTGCGCATAAACAACAGCAGCTCTGAGCGACAAAACATGTCCATGCCGACATAGCGTTCCACGCTGTCCCGTGACTTTGAAGTCATAGATTTAGCAATGTCCAGTCTTGATCGGATACCGTTATGAATGCCGGTCCGTCAGCCCAACCATTGTGAAATTGCTTCAAGCCACGCCTGCATACATCCAAAACGAAACATTCTAATTTCTGAATGCGTTTGCTTTACCAAAACGAAACATTTTAATGGATATCTCGACCCCTTCTAAATTTACTTCCAAGATTTATAAAGCGTAACATAACAGAAAGCGACATTGTATGCTTATAGATTTAATTTGTGTAATATTACATATCAGGGACGCATCAGTCTCTCCAAAAGAATTTTGCTTTTGCTTGGCCGCTGGTTTTGCCTACAGGAGGTTAAGGATGGCGATGTTGGGTAGATAGAAAGCGACATTGTATAATTCAATTGCTTTTAATTTTGTAAAATAAAGCATATTAATCGGGTTGTTGGCTTGTTGCAGGACAACATATTTGTAATGGATTTTGATCTTTGATTGAAACATAAAATAGTTATTAGCATATAATGAAAATATTTCAATGGATATTGTCAACCTTCTCTTATCTATACACAGATGTCGAAAAGATCAGCCATTGCGTCCAAATGCAGCCGATACAAGAAGGAACATATTTATAGATTCCCCTAAACAGAATAAGACTGAAGTTGCCATCTTCCAGCTGCATATTCTAGTTGTCCCTGATAAAAAGAGAATCCAATCCAAAAATAAATACAAGCGATGAACATTTAATTTAAGACCAAATTTCGTGTAATCGAGCACATTGTCAACCTAAAATGTGTTATAATGTCGGATAAGATAAAAGGTCGACAAGAAAGTTCTTGTGCTTCAGAATTGAAAACTGAAGATCTCCGAGTCATACCCTATGAATTAAGAAGCAGCAGTCGGAAACATCAGCACTCAAAATTGGCGCCTTGGCCTAGACTCTGCCACAGTGACTCGAATTGATCTGCCATCCAAATCCTGCACCAGACAAAATCATGTATAGAACATTCATTAGGTGCACACGGCCCAACATAGAATGGAAGAAGCATTAAAGATATTGACCATATAAATTAGCCAAATGACCAAATATAAATTATATAATTACTAATTCTCAATTTGCTATAAACATTCACACATGAAAGATTAAGGCACTAATAAACTTACAGAACCATTCAAGGATCTGACGGCCCTGTCAACCTCTTCAGCAGAATTGTAAGTTACAAAGCCAAAACCCCTTGATCTACCACTTTCCCTGTCATAAACGACTTTTGCTTCCACAACGCTGCCTTGCTCACTGAACAAGTTCTCGAGTGTCATGTCATCAACACCCCATGAAAGGTTACCAACATAGACACGATTTGAAGCTCCCATAGGAGGACCACCTCTTGCTCCTCTAGGCGAGTAGTCTTCCCTGCCTCTTGCTCCTCTGGGAGAGTAGTCTTCCCTGCCTCTTCCTCCTCTGGGAGAGTAATCTTCCCTGCCTCTTCCTCCTCTAGAAGAAAAGTCTTCCCTACGAGGAGGAGGAGGTCCTGAGTTTACCCTCAATGCCCTCCCTTCCAGTTCCTGTAACCAGTAAGTCAACCAGAAGAATATTTTATGATAATCCGAACAGAAGCTTATCATAAAACCTATAAACTTATCATGAGTTTATTACTTTGATGGGGATATTAGCTATTAACAATGCTGTCAAAACTCAAGCAAACTTGTCAATGCAAATACCCCTTTCCCCCACAATACTGCAAAAGAGAATATGGAAGAAAGTAAAAAGCATTTACTTCAGATGTCGATCGGATTCATATGCGAAAGTAGGTTTTAAAACCAAAACAACAAGACATCAGCCCTCAAATTTTCTAATAATGACAAATGAGAATCTGTTCATGATATGTTCTCAAAACTAAAAAAAAAATGGAAAGTCACATTGTTTCCAATAGAATTGTAAACAAAGCAAATCCAAACAAGAAATGTGAAAAAAACAATCATAGCATATACGAACACGACCCCAGAAAATCACTTACATAGCCATTGAACTGTTGTTCAGCAGCTTCAACTTCCTCAATTGTGGACATGGTCACAAAAGCAAATCCCCTACTTCTCCCAGTTACCTTGTCGTAAATCACCTGCCGAAAGCAAAATTTTCATCACATCAAAGTCAGCGTTTGTGATTCTAAATTCACAAATGACTGAAGTGAAAGACAAAAGTTCCACCGTCTATGTTGCATCTATTAAAATCCGTGCTCAATTAAATCATCAAATGACAACTTACACATTGATCCTTCAATTAGCTAAATTCCTTTTGAGCTTTCAACATTCAAACGCATCGAGAAGCACAAAATTGGCAAATGGCAAATTACTAAGTAAAATTAGAAAGGAAAATTAAGTACCTCAGCCACCTCAACATTTCCAGCGCTACCGAATAATCCAGCAAGCTGAGCACTATCCACACTGAAAGGAAGATTTCCCACAAAAAGTTTCAAGTCAGGAGAGAAAACAGGAGCCTCTTCTCCATCCTCATCACTACCAAATAAATCACCTTCATGACCATAGTCAGATGAAACGGAAACGTTCCTGATGAACTTAGAAGGGAAAGAAGAGTTTTTGGCCAAAAGCTCAAAACTTTGAGGAGCATAACAAAAGAGAGGCTTTGCGTGGGTCTTGTGAGAAAGGGAGAAGAGGGAAAGTGAAATGGGTGTTGAGTTTGATAAAGATAAGACCTTGGGTTTAAGAGATGGGAGTATAAGAGATGAAGCAGATGTTGCAGACATGGCTTCTTCGCTTCTTTTTCAGCCGTTGTTTTCCGCTACAGCTAAAAAGATAAGGTTTTTGAAGTGGAACTGAGGGTTTAAGCAGCAGAAGTTTGGTTAGGTTAAATATTTATAGAAGGGGAAATGGAATAAAGAAGGGCAACAGATCAAGTTGCCTACTTGGTTGC